ATTTAGATATACATCTTAATGTTCCAGATGTATAGAAGTGTGTTAGGAATAAGTTATGTAATTGAATGTCCTACTGAAACAGAGAGACAAATTCTCCTTAGTTGTTTTAATTTCGTTAACCAATAGGCTTAAAAAATTTTGATTGATGTTTTTTGTAAATGAGTTGAAGAGAGTCTGAGTGGAGGTGAGGCGATATACGTTTTGATAAACATTGCCAGGGAATAAAAATTTCGTTATTCAAAAGCTTGAGTTGTTGCATCTATTCGACATATTCAAAGGGAATATTGCCTGGGCGACGGGCAAGATTCACAAAAGCTGTAGAAGCAATTATTCAAATCCGTACACCGAGATGTTTTTTAATCACACAAGAAACAACAGTAATACCGATTTCTTTGAGTTTGGATGGTTTCGTTTTCCTACAAATGTTGTTGATAACTATGTGGCTATGATCGTAATCCATGATATTTTGGTTGTGCTTGCACTTCTTTCCAATCCTATATTTCTTTACGTTATTTACAAGACGTTTCATTCATCTACTGGAAAGAACAATAGTTTGCTTTGCTTGTGTCTCTAACATTTTCATGTATGGTTTCAGTATGTTAAATATGATCATTGGATTCGGTGGTGTCATGACACGAGTCTTTTCCATATTAATGCCTACATATTACCTCATAACCCTCGGCTTGGCACTAAATAATTATGGTCTTATTGTACACCCATAAAATTTCAAGTGTTGTCACCCAAACCAAAAACTGTTATTGCTATCGTGGGACCAGTATATATAATATTCTCACTCGTACTCCTCATTGTCCCCAGTTTTGTTGAGAATATTCATTTGTACACGGAAATGTTGTTGACGACAGAAGTCGGTATATGTTGGATTGTAACCATTATTCTATCGATATTATATTTTAAAATCACCAAGACTTTATATCATCGGAAAAGCTTTTAAAAACATTCAATGTATCTGAAAATCAACAGGGATCCGTCATCATTGCGAAAAATTCAAGGCTAGCTAAAGTGATGTTTATTTACATTTTAGAGTTAATTATCTTGACGCTTCCGACTTTTACTTGCACTATGATACAGAGTGTATTTTACGACCGACAAAATCTCACCTTACATCGTATAATTTTCTTTTTAATTCCTATGGCCATCAGTTTACCAATTGTTCACGTGTTCCACTGGCTTCTTCTATCTCCTCTGTATTACCAAGATAAAGAAATTATCGGGAAGATTTTTGATTTATTTCATCGTAAGAGTCAGGAACAGTAAACTCTTTACAAAAATTTTATGTTCTTAGTGTAGTGCTAGAAACGATATGAAATAATTTTTTGTTTTTATTTTTAACCAGATGGATTTTTAACCATTGATTACCAGTCTTTCATTTTATTATAAATTTTATTGTCTTAAAACGGTTAGGTTTCTTCACGTTGGCTTATCCATAATTTAGCTTTGAAGGATTCAACTGTAATCCAATTCATTTTTGTGAGTTTGTTTGCATGTGATTAAAATGTGGGTTTAATGGAGAATAAGAATGTCGACATTATCTTTCTAATTCTGATTGGTTTACAGCAACAAACAGTTCTTATTTTTTAACATTAGGCAATATTTTTTAAGCTCATTAACAAAACATGCGCAGTTGTTTAACATTAGTATTTCGAATATCTTTTAATTTATGATCAAACATCTTACATTTTTTAATCAAGCCAGTATTTTTTAATGATATTTATTTTGTTCTCAGTTGTCTATGTTAATATTCTCCCCCACTCATCTATATAAAGAATGTTTTATTAAGATTGATTAATTCATAACGTTCTTTTACCTTCTATTTCTCTTTAATTGTCGCCTTAAAGAGATAAATGTAAACAGATTGGACAAAGCCTTTTCTACGCAGGCATACGATTTCAGTAAATCGCTTTGTCATTTATCCTTAAAGCACAATTTGATCGTTGACATCTTGATGGAATAGAGCTTTTACATTTCTCACAAGAACATTGTTTGATATTGAGAAAGATTTGGCTTCGTGAGGGTTGTGAACTTTGGTCATTGAAGAATTTGCCTCTCATATACTGCGTTGTTTAGCTAAAGAGAGACACATTTTGACGTTTGACAAAGTTAAGTACTTTGTCGTTTGCGAAAAGTCAGAGTGAGTTGTTATTGTGACAGAAGGGTCAAGCGTCGCGAAGAATGAATGACTGAAAGGCTGCAAGACCTACAGTTGTTATTTATAAGATAAAACCATCTGTAACAGAAGTGCAGTGTTTTCCAAAATCATCTCACGAAAAAGCCCAACAAAAAAAGATAAAGTGGTTGATCGATTCCAAAGTCGTTTACATTCTAACATCAAAACAAAAGGCATTACTGCTGTGGCAATACAAGAAGCAGTCGACCATTATTCTCAGCAATTGTTGACCGTCTCAAGATGTATTTTAATACCACAAGAAATTACAGTAATCTTGAGTTCTTTGAATTTGGATGGTTTCGTTTTCCTACAAACGTTGTTGACAACTATGAGGTTATGATCATAATCCATGATGTTTTGGTTGTGCTTTCTTTTATTTCCAATCCGATATTACTTTACGTTATTTACAAGACGTTTCATTCATCTACTGGAAAGAACAACAGTCTTCTTTTAGCATGTACTTGTATCTGTAATATTTTCACGTATGGTTTCGGTATCTTAGATATAATGATTGTAATCGGCGTCGATGTCATGACACGAGCTTTATCCATATCTCTGCCTACATATTACTTTATAACCCTCGGTTTGGCACTAAATAATTATGGTCTTATTGTAACACCCATAAAATTTCAAGTGTTATCACCCAAACCAAGAACTGTAATTGCTATCGTGGGACCAGTATGGTTAATAATCTCCCTCGTACTCCTCATTGTCCCCAGTTTTGTTGAGGATATTGAATTGTACTCAGAAACGTTGTTGGCGACTGAAGTCGGTATATGTTGGATTTTGACCGTTATTATATTGGTATTATATTGGAAAATTGTCAACACGTTATATCAAAGGAAAAAGACGCTATTAAAAACGTTTAATTTGTCCGAACAACAACAAGGATCTGTCATCATTGCAAAAAATTCAAGACTAGCAAAAGTGATGTTTATTTACATTTTGGAGATAGTTGTCTTGTCACTTCCAGTTGATACTTGCATTGTGATACAGAGTGTATTTTACGACTTAGAAAATCTTACTTTAGATCGTATAATCTTCTTCTTAGTTCCTGCGGCCATTAGTTTACCACTTGTTCATGTGATCCACTGGCTTCTTCTATCTCCTCTGTATTACCAAGAGATAAAGAGAATTGTGGGAAAGATTTTTAACTTATTTCATCGTAAGAGTCAGGGACAGTAAACGTATAAAGCAAAATTTTTAATGTACTTAATGTAGTGTTAGGAACAAGTGGAGGTCTTTCATTTTATTTTGAGTTGGCTGTTGTAAAACTGTTTACGTTTCTCCACTTCCGTGTTTGAATATTATACCATTAAAGGATTTATTCGTTCGCCATTCATACTTGTGAATTGTTTTCGTGCGATTAAAATGTTGCTTTCTGCGGTGGGATCCTGAACGTATTCTAAAATCTTACTCACGTTTACACTCATTTAGTGCGACACCGTAATTGCATTCCCACCATGCAATACCAAACTCGTGTCTCCATCAATGTCAAGACTTTTGATTAACCACTCTAAATTGAAAATTTCTTGAAGTAAAAATACCGTCAATTTTCCAATAATTACAAGGTTATATGGAAGATCCACTCAGCGAGAGTGAGTGTGAGTGAGCTTTTTGTATACAGGAGTATATTTTTTAACTTCTCTTATATATTCGTTAAAGTAGCTTTATCATTAGTTTATTGTCTCTACTTACCAGCAATTCTTCCAATTCTTCTGGCTGTATTGTTGTTTGCGTGAGAAGACGTTTTTCTTTTTGTCAATGACCACCATTCAAAGTCTGGTTGTGTTGTTGGTTTTGAGAGAAGACGTTTTCCTCCTTCTCTTTTCGAAAAAAATCACATGAATCTTTATGGTGATAGATTTTTAGTGTAGTGATTAATTAGATACACTGTTTCCGAACACGTGTTATATTTCATCCTCGTCACGTGACTCTATTCTCATCTTTTTTAGCCCCCGTGGAGCGAGTACGACAACCAATGGACGATCATGTTTAAGGTTGGTGAGGGTGGCTCTCCTGCAATCCCAGAATCCCTTAGTGATGAAGGAAGGGAATTTTTGACGCGTTGTTTCGTGCACGACCCTCACGAGAGATGGACCGCAAGACAGCTTCAAAATCTCACTTTTCTTAAATTATGATTTAATGCGCATTTCATGGGTAAGAAATGAAGTTATTCAAGTATTTATTCAGTTGATATATGCTGTAGAATTTGTTGTCTTCCTATGTCACACAAGACTTTGGATCTTACAGAGCTAATCTCAATACACACTAAACAAAGTTAATATTTACATGGTACTTACAGTTTGGCAAACCTTGTACCCCGAGTTTTTGAATTGTCGCTCCTACCTTAATTACTGAGTAGCGTCAGTGAAAGAGCTTGCGTACGAAGTTACAATTTTGTGTCGTTAGATTGGTCATTTTTAAATCACAGATATCATTGTTTTGAACATTTATTTTATAGAACAATTATTGCTGGTTTTGGAATTCCAATGGATCATAATGGATCATACTGGTTCGCTATTTACTTATTCTGTTCAGGATCACCATCTATTACGGTCAGATTTATCTATGTTGCATTATTTATTAGTTTGCCGTCGTGGTAGCTATGGAGTAATTTATTTAAATGAAGTCGGAATTTGTTTGAAGTTTCCTTCTTGTTCTTGATGGACACTCGCAAAGTTTTTCAAATTTTCTTTTAAAAGTATGCCGTTTTTCATGGTCTGTGTGTTCTTTGTATTCACACTAGAACATCTTGAGCAATCGTTTATTTGAATATTTTTTCTGGAGGATAAATGTGTTAGAAAATATTTCATCTTTACTACGGAGCTCAACTACTGCATACTTAGGCATTGCGTTTGAAAATTAAGCTTCAAGAAAATAATGCGTTTTATTTATTGAGAGAATTTTTAAGTAAATATATAATCTATCCAAGTTTGGTATTTTGCATTTGTAGCTATATCAGTTTAGAAGATTACTCCAGCTTAAAGGCATATAAGATAATTATTATTTATTATATAGTTAAAATGTAAATGTGTTTTAAAATATATGTATATAGAATGTATGGAGTTGACAAATATTTAAAATTACATTTACTTGATAAAAAATACTCTTCTACTAATAATCCCTGCTGCCAAAATTTGATGATATTTTGCTAACCGTACACAGACACTTTAGATGACTAAAATTTCAACTTTTTTTCTGTACTAAATGATCTTTTGGACTTATTTCTGAAATGATTCCGGTGGTTGAATAAGCGTTCAACAGCAATTTACAAATTCAAGAAAACTGTCTTAAAGATTTTCTTTCATGAATTTGATTTATGATTTTAAATAATAAACTCCCATAATAAAAAAACACCTACCCTGGGTGTTTTTATCGTATTAAAAAAGTGGTCATGTCTACTTTACAAGACGGAAACTTTTTTACCTTTGAACTGGCGCTATTTTATTGATACAACATGGTTTCAATGATCGCTTTTTGGTTTTGGAGAGAAATTTAATTTTTTATACAACGACATGCAATTATCCATTTCATTTCATGCAACAGACTCTTAGCTAGTGAGGTGTCAATCATTTCCAATCTTTATTAAAAAGTATTTTTTAATAAAGATAGAAACGATTGAAGCATCACTAGGTGATTTTAATAAAGATTGCAAGTGATTGAAACATTGTTATTTTCTGTTTCCCATCGTTGATAAAAATATGTTCGTAAGTACATATCTTTGTTGACGTCAAAATCTTGCAGAAGGAAATTGACATTTTTCCCTATGAAAGCAATAATTCATTTTCAGAGCCGAGAAATTTTTTGTAATGTCAAAAATTTGTTAGTATGTTTTTTTCTTATCAATTATTTATTTTAATAATCTGATAATTTTCTTTTTATGTTTGTTGTCAGTCAACAGTGTTGTCAGTCATTATACACAATCTATTCCGGACGATGATTTTAAATAAAAAGTACTATCCGAAAACTAGCACTATATCAAACTTTAATTTGACGTCAAAACCAACCGAGAGAGTTGTCTACCGTAATATTTGGAATTCCTTTTATCAGTCTTTAAAATATTGTACATTTTTCTTTTTTACCATTCTTAATCTATGTTTAATGACCATGACAAATACTCTCTGTTCTTACCGACTGCTGTAGACTAACTATAATCCCTTCGACTCGACAAAGAACTGTTTTAAGTTCATGAAGGTATAATTTTCTTGTTTGGCGTATTTTTAATTAAATCTTTGTGCTTCGTCTCCGTCTGTCATTGCTACAGTTAAAGCAGCAAATTTTTTATAATTCACTCTTTTCGTGTATTTTCGATATTTATTGAAGATTCAAAAGATTGTTTCTTTTCAACGTGGAAAAAGTGGAGAAATTGTGACGACGAGAATCGATAACTATCATTTTTGAATAATTTCAGCTGTTGCATTCATTGCTTTGTATATTGGAGACGAGTGTAAACAATTGCACAAAAACTTTTCTATGTCGGCCTATGATTTCAGTAAATCGCTTGGGCATTTTTCATAAAAAAATTTCATCTTTGGTGTCTTGGTGGAATAGAAGTTACATTTAAACCTTAGCTTCGTGACGTTGAACCTTGTTCATCAAAGAATTTGCTTCCAATATACATGTTTTTTTAGCAACGTGCTTCCGTTTGACAGAGATATAACTCCGTGACAAGAGGCTGAGTGCGATGAATGAATGATTGAAAAGCTGGAAGACATATTTTTATTTGCAAGTTGATAAACCATCTGCAACAGAAGCAGTAATTACTAAATTCATCAACAACATCGACAACAACAGCTAAACTGATGAATATACTCCTATAGCCCTTACCATTCCAATGTGTAAATAAAACCAGATGGATTTGTAACCATTGATTACCAATGTTTCATTTTGTTATAAATTTTATTGTCTTAAAACAGTTAGGTTTCTTCACGTTGGCATTTCCATAGTTTGGCTTTGAAGGATTCGACTGTAATCCTATTCATTAATGTCAGTTTGTTTGCATGTGATTAAAATGTGGATTTAATGGAGAATAAGAATGTCGACATTATCTTTCTAATTCTGATTGGTTTACAACAACAAACAGTTTTTATTTTTTAACAATAGGCAATATTTTTTAAGCTGATTAACAAAACGTGAGCAGTTGTTTAACATTAGTATTTCGAATATATTTTAATTTATGATCGAACATCTTACATTTTTTAATCAAGCCAGTATTTTTTAATGATATTTATTTTTGTTCTCAGTTGTCTATGTTAATATTCTCCCCCACTTATCTATATAAAGAATGTTTTATTAAGATTGATTAATTCATAACGTTCTTTTACCTTCTATTTCTCTTTAATTGTCGCCTTAAAGAGATAAATGTAAACAGATTGGACAAAGCCTTTTCTACGCAGGTATATGATTTCAGTAAATCGCTTTGTCATTTATCCTTAAAGCACAATTTGATCGTTGACATCTTGATGGAATAGAACTTTTACATTTCTCACAAGAACATTGTTTGATATTGAGAAAGATTTGGCTTCGTGAGGGGTTGTAAACTTTGGTCATTGAAGAATTTGCCTCTCATATACGTGGCTGTTTAGCTAAAGATAGACACATTTTGACGTTTGACAAAAGATCAGTACTTGTGTCATATGCGAACAGTCAGAGTGAGTTGTTATTGTGAAAGAAAGGTCAAGCATCGCGAAGAATGAATGAATGAAAGGCTGCAAGACGTACAATTGTTATTTATAAGATAAACCATCTGTAACAGAATTGCAGTATTCGCCAAAATCATCTCGCAAAAAATACCCAACAACAACCGATAAAGTGGTTAATCGATTCCAAAGTCGTTTACATTCTAACATCAAAACAAAAGGCATTACTGCTGTGGCAATACAAGAAGCAGTCGACCATTATTCTCAGCAATTGTTGACCGTCTCAAGATGTATTTTAATACCACAAGAAATTACAGTAATCTGGAGTTCTTTGAATTTGGATGGTTTCGTTTTCCTACAAACGTTGTTGACAACTATGAGGCTATGATCATAATCCATAACGTTTTGGTTGTGCTTTCTTTTATTTCCAATCCGATATTACTTTACGTTATTTACAAGACGTTTCATTCATCGACTGGAAAAAACAACAGTCTTCTTTTAGCATGTACTTGTATCTGTAATATTTTCACGTATGGTTTCGCTGTCTTGGATATAATGATTGTAATAGGCTTGGATGTCATGACACGAGTCTTATCCATACTCCTTCCTACATATTACTTTATAACCCTCGGTTTGGCACTAAATAATTATGGTCTTATTGTAACACCCATAAAATTTCAAGTGTTATCACCCAAACCAAGAACTGTTATTGCTATCGTGGGACCGGTATAGATAATAATCTTCCTCGTACTCCTCATTGTCCCCAGTTTAGTTGAGGATATTAAATTGGACTCAGAAACGTTAAAACGACTGAAGTCGGTATATGTTGGATTTTGACCGTTATTATATTGGAAAATTGTCACCACGTTATATCAATGGAAAAAGACGCTTTTAAAAACGTTTAATTTGTCCGAACAACAACAAGGATCTGTCATCATTGCAAAAAATTCAAGACTAGCAAAAGTGATGTTTATTTACATTTTAGAGATAGTTGTCTTGTCACTTCCAATTGATACTTGCATTGTGATACAGAGTGTATTTTACGACCTAGAAAATCTTACTTTAGATCGTATTATTTTCTTTTTAATTCCTCTGGCTATCAGTTTACCTCTTGTTCACGTGATCCATTGGCTTGTTCTATCTCCTCTGTATTACCAAGAGATAAAGAGAATCGTCAGGAGGTTTTTTAACTTATTTTATCGTAAGAGTCAGGAACAGTAAACGTCCAAAGCAAAATTTTTAATGTACTTAATGTAGTGTTAGGAACGACTGGACGTCTTTCATTTTATTTTGAGTTGGCTGTTGTAAAGCTGTTTACGTTTCTCCACTTCCGTATTTCAATATTATACCATTAAAAGATTTATTCGTTCGCCATTCATACTTGTGAATTTGTTTTCGTGCGATTAAAATGTTGCTTTCTGCGGTGGGATCCTGAAAGTATTCTAAAATCTTACTCACGTTTACACTCATTTAGTGCGACACAGTAATCGCATTCCCACCATGCAATAGCAAACTCGTGTCTCCATCAACGTCAAGACTTTTGATTAAGCACTCTAAATTAAAAATTCTTTGATGTTAAAATACCGTCAGGCCCCTGTTTACACTATACCGGATCGCTATCGTAGCAGGTTGAATATTCTTTGTATTAAAAGGCAGTGAAATTGTTCAACGTCAGAAACACAATCAAATAGACTAAATCTATCAACTTAATAAGCTTTTACTCTTAACAGTTAACCCTTTAAAGCAAATGAAGATGTTGTGATGAGCGAATCTGGTATAGTGTAGACACAGCCCCATTTTTCCAATGATTACTTTGTTTTAAGGAAGCTCAACCCAGCGAGAGTGAATGTGAATGAGCTTTTAGAATACAAGTGTACATTTTTTAACTTTTCTTATGTATTCGTTAAGGTAGCTTTATGATTTCTTTATAGTCTCTACTTACCAGCAATTCTTTCTTCCAATTCTTCTGGTTGTAATGTTGGTTGTGAGAGAAGACGTTTTCCTTAATGTCCATGAAACCATTCAAAGTCTGGTTGTATTGTTGGTTGTGAGAGAAGACGTTTCTTTCATGTCCATGACAACCATTGAAAGTATGGTTGTATTGTTGGTTGTGAGAGAACACGTTTTTTTCATGTCCATGACAACCATTGAAAGTATGGTTGTATTGCTGGTTGTGAGAGATGACGTTTTTTTCATGTCCATGACAACCATTGAAAGTATGGTTGTATTGTTGGTTGTGAGAGATGACGTTTTACTTCAGGTCCATGACAACCATTCAAAGTCTGGTTGTATTGTTGGTTGTGAGAGAAGACGTTTTCTTTCATGTCAATGACAACCATTTAAAGTATGTTTATGGTGATTTTTAGGGTAGTGATTAATTAGAGACCTTTTTTCCAAACACGTGTTCTACTTCATCCTCGTCACGTGACTCTATTCTCATTTTTTAGCCCACGTGGAGCGAGTACGACAGCCAATGGGCGATCATGTTAAAGGTTGGTGAGGGTGGCTCTCCTGCAATCCCAGAATCCCTTAGTGATGAAGGAAGGGAATTTTTGACACGTTGTTTCGTGCACGACCCTCACGAAAGATGGACCGCAAGACAGCTTCAAAATCTCACTTTTCTTAAAGTATGATTTAATGTGCATTTCGAGGGTAAGAAATGAAGTTATTCAAGTATTTATTCAGTTGATAGATGATGTAAAATTTATTTTTTTATGTCACACGATAAAGTATTGGATCATACAGAGGTAATGGCATTACTTCATCTAATACAAATCATACATAATTTTTACATAATACTTACGGTTGATAAAAATCTTTTTGAGGAGCGTAAATTTAAAGAGCCTGGGTACAAAGTTGCAATTTAGTGTCGTTGAATTTATGATTTTTCAATCGCAAATATCATTATTATGAACATTTACTTTGTAGAACAAATATTAATGGTTTTGGAGTTCCAATGGATCATAATGGTTCGCCATTTACTTATTCTGTTCAGGATCACCATCTATTACGGTCAGATTCATTTATGTTGTATTATTTATTGGTTTGTCGTTGTGATACGTATGGAGTAATTTCATTTAAAATTTATGAAGTCGGAATTTTTTTGAAATCTCATTCACTTTCTTCATGAACACTAGAAAGGTTTTTCAAGTTTTGTCTTCAATTTAAAAGTATGCCTTTTTTTCATAGTCTATCTGTTCTACTTTGTATCCGCACTACATCTTGAGTAACCGTTTCTTTTTAATTTTTTTTCCCGAGGATAAATGTGTTAAAAAATATTTCATCTTTGCTACGGAGCTCAAATGCTAAATACGTATGCATAGCGTGTGAAAATTCTAGCTTTGTTACCTTTTCCTTCAAGATATTTACTTCTTCCCATTACATTATGTCCACCAACTGTCTAGCTTTTACTTACATTGTCCCAACATTTAAAGTTCTTACTTCATGCAGTGCTCAACTCTGTCATTCGTCTACTTTTTCTTTGTGAAGATACGTTTTCTCCTATTTGCAGACCTACAGTAATTCAATTCCATTTCCAGCAAGCTATGCGACTGATCTGGTATGGAAGACAAAGAACTGATTTACATATTTCATTTTGGCAATGGTTTTTACGCCGGATGTTCTTCCTTAAGACGCAACCCTCTGCATTTTTCAGGCATTTGACTGGCATGAATAAAAAAATAATAAAATATAAATTTTAACGTTTTATAATTTCCTTAAGATCTTTCCTTCTACAAATTCATACAACTGCATGATATATTGTTGTATATTGTATAAAAATATTTGAACAGCGAGTGAGTTAACTTCAAAAAAATTGCAGCTTTCAAGAGTTGCTTCATTCTTTTTTACTGCTAAAAGGCCATATAACTTTCCAGTTTTGATCCTCCAGTAACATTGTACACAATACAAAAAAACAATTCTTTTTTTCAGTGATTAATCTATTATAATAAGTCTAAGGCTAAATATAAAACTCTCCTATATAAATTGGAGATGTTTCGAAATTGTCAATACAAGCGTGGTGTGTAATATACTTCAACAGAATATAAGTAAGATGACAAGATGCTTTCCAATCAAGCGCCATCATTGCATGACATTAGCACATTCATGAAAACAGCCACAGCTCTCACAGTTTTCTTCACCAAATAACTTTTTTAAAGCCTTACTCAGTTTGAAGCATATAAAATACTTATACCTTGGCTCGCAGAGTTCTTCGTGATAAACCCGAGCAATACCATAACCAAAGGGAATTCTTCTTCCATGCTCATCCCGAAAATATACTAGCACGCCAGACTCACCACTTTTAAGGAAATGTTCTTCGCTTTTCACCAGAACGGCATCCTGATACACGACCTTCTTTTCAGGCTCATTACAGGAATAAGAAACATCACAAATTTTCCCAATTTTATACTTCTCATACTTTTTTACTTCAACTGTCTCGTTCTCAACATGAACTCGTCTATTCAGCTCCCTCCATACATCATTCCAAGAAGGTCTGTGTATTCTATTTCGTCTGCAATTTTCATTAAAATCTTCATTGACTTCTATTGACAAAATGTCCATATTGGTTTCTAATTTATAGTCACTGAAATGGCCTAAGGAAATTTTGGGTTCTGAAGGTGATGTGTAGTTGTATTGATTTGTACTCAAATGTAATTTGAATTCGTTTGGGTCATTTTTGTTTTGATTGAGCATTTCATAAATTTTGTCATCACCATCTCCGTTGTAACAAACATGACAACAGGTCAACGCGTAATGTTTCCCGTTCTGGTAACAGAACATCGTTAATGTGCCTCTTGAAACTCTCCGACTGTTTCTTTCTACTGCAATCTTTGATAGCAGTTGAAGCTTTGGTGTTGTCGATGGTTTTGGACGAAATTCAAAGTACCTCGAAGCATTCGGTCCAAACATTTCATCGATTTTATCTTTCAACACAGCTTCATCAACACTCTCGTAATCAACTGTGATAAACAAATGGAAATATGGTAGTTTCTTGTTTGGACCGACTTTTCCATAAACGCCCCGCATCCCAGGCAAACTGTAAAAGAAAAGTAAAAATAAGAAATTCGTCGTGCTAATAAATTTAAAATGGCTCTGAACAGCGTATTTGTCATGGTGAATAACAACCCGTCATGTAGCCACATGGGAGGGACCTGGCTTAAAAAGCACATAATTTCCAGAAAAAATAAAGAATCTTAACTGCAAATCCGAATACACTCTCTTTCGCATTACCATCTTAGACACTGCCAACACTCCATTTTCTCTCAAACTTATAGATCTCTACACATACGCAAACACAAACCGATCTCAACCAACAAACGTAATATTTCAATTAATCTCTATGATACTCACAATGCATGCCATGTAAATATTACTTCTAATCTAAGATTTATTATAAAAAATTATCCCTCTACTGATTACTACTCCATATGTGTCATATGCATGTCCTACTGTATATTTAACATTGTAAATACTCGACTTCATACATAAATTGAAGATGACTTAATGTTATAAGTCGATTATCTATATTTTATATGCTTAATTAATCTAGTGCTATTAAGATCATACGGAATATCATCCTCTTTTACTAACGGTAAGTCCCTAGACGTGACTATCGAGAAAGTAACCTTTTGAGCTTTATGTGCACATCTTCTTTAATGTCATATTCATCATCAAGAAACATTTTTTCAAATGAATGATCATCTTCGGATTTGAAGAGATCATTTGACGCACCATAACCAGGGCTATTATTGATGGAATTATCATCACTAGAACTGTCATCTCTAGTACTGTCATCATCAGAACTGTCATCTCTAGTACTGTCATCTTCAGAACTGTCATCATTAGAGCTTTCATCATTTTTGTGACGACTAAGAGGACCTTGAAAATTCAGAACAAATAATTTAATTAATAAATCAATGAAAGAAAATACATAATGTATTAATAAACAAATACTATACAGATAAAAAAATTTTAATTCGTTTGAAGCCTAGCATCTTTATAAACTTACTATGCTCGCATATGATTAGCAAATTCAAGATGAAAAGCGCTTACGAATATCGATTATGTGGGTAGCCCATTGGGGTAGCCTGTCAAATATATGGCCTCAAAATGGACTAGAATAATGAGCACAGTTTGAATACTGTATGTGTTTTGTTATTAAATGCACCAAACTTCTTCAAGGCTTGAAAATGAGCTTTTTGCTCATTGTTCAATTGAATGACTCAGTTGAACTGTCACAAAACCTTTCTGTATTTTCTGAAGTTCCTCGCTCAGAATGCGTAATACGTGACTGGGGTCACATCAAGGAAAATACAGCCCTTAAGATTTCTCCCCAAATGATAGATATGATAGACTTTTGCCACAAATACTACATCGTCAACAACTTGTTTTCAATCATTTTTCTAAAGTATAAGAGATGTCATTCTCTTTACTGATAAATGATTGATTAACGTGTATACGACTTGTATTTCTATTTTGGGGTCAAAGAGCTATGTTTGCATAGTATTAAATTAATAACATTTTGAATAAAAGACTATATTTTTGACGATTTTATGCAAATGTTTAATCTTTGAAAATGAACGCTTAGTATATCCATGCAGAGAATTTTAGCTAGTATTCTGTCCTATATTTAACACACCAACAAAAGACTATGATCATACAGAATCGAGCTCCTTTTTATTTTGGTATTAACAGATGACCACATCCAGGCAATATAGCTTCAAGTGTATGCTCTGGGTTTTATCTAATACTTTTCAACAACAGTATGATAAGATTAGGGCTCTTGTCATTCTTTGCCGATTGCAAGTAACTTTTATTTGATCTTTGAACGCTGATGGAGCCTTAATATCATGCAAGTATTTCATTGAGTTTATTACACAAAGATTAACATTTGTCACGCGCTAAATTTGTTCTCATTGTGACCTCACTTACTTCGATACGCAAAATTTAGTTTTGCCTCACAAAAGTTTAACGATGAGCTGTTGTCATATGTTCGTTTATTTCAACAAATGCCAAAGAAGTTCATTGCAATGAACTTCGCAATAAAATGACCTTAACACTTTTCAACTCTCGCACATAGCTGCGCGTGCGCAGCGGCTACTGAAAAAATTAAAAAATTGTATGTATTCAAAGCAAAAATTGGTTTAAAATAACTATATAGCTACTACGGATTAGTAAGTTACTTAATTTAGACAGAACGGTGTGCCAAATTATGAAAGTAGTTGGAAATAAGTCCTTAGCAATCCATTTATTTTAATATATTTTTAAATACGGAAAAACAGTGGTACTTCTTCTGTACTCCTTTACGTTTGCTGCACTAAAACCGCTTTCTTCGTTATAATTAAAAAAATGTTTTTTAAAAGAATTATTATGTGGTGGTGAAATATGAGCAAAAATATGGGAATATTTTCTGATGGATTAAAATATTTCACATTACCTTACAAAACAAAATAAGCATACTTAATGTAGCTACTACAAACATGAATTTTTATTCATTTCTAAGAGTAAATCTCTAAAATATGAATTACCTGGTTGAATCTTAATGAATTACTTCAATTCATATGCTATATTCAGTGAAATCTCTAAACAAGACGTACACATACCTTCTTTTATGTTTTCTGCACCATGCATATGACTTAGCAGAACTTCAACATTCATAGTGAGCTATCTATGGCCGCTGATAATAAAATTTACTAAAGAAAAAAAACATACCTCGTTTTCTGTTTTCTTTACCGTGCGGAGCTTGTGGAGTTGAACGAGTTCCAATAACTTCATCTTTATTCAAAACTATAATAATAAATATACAATCTTAACTGGAGTAAAATTTAAATGTTTTTATTTTTCATTTAACATGCCTAGTGATATTTTTGATTTTCTGCAACCTAAAAACTGCAGGCTACAGCAGTGGGCAGCTTTTTGCGATGTCTTGGCGATGGTCTGAAAGTGATGTTCTTTCGCAATAAATTTGTTTACAAAGTGAAATTTTAATGTATTTAGATGGTAATTGTCATAGCGAAAGTTAATTTTACTATCTAGACGAAGAGAACTTTGTCAAAAGCTTCACTTAACCACCCGCATCGGCCATTTTGCAATGCAAATTTCTTTATAATAAAAGTAATAAAAGCATTATTCACCGTTTAGGTCAGTACGTACTGATTTTTTAGTATTAACGTCCAATTAAGCCGTTAAATAAAACATATATTCATGGACAAACAATGCATTTTTAACAAAAAAGATATTGTCGTAATGGCCAAAATGTACAACTCTGAAGCAAAAATGCAAGGTCAGAGAAAATTTTTGGTTAAACGTTTACTCTGCATTTTATTGGTATTTATACAAAAACGTTTGCACGTTTCATCGCAGTAATTATATATAAATTGTGCATGCCCCAACACGTTTACAATTACTTCAAAAAATTAACATCTATATAGTAATACAATTTAGTTTGCTGTGCTATAAAGGCAGCCGGGATAATGATTTACATCTTATATGGAAAATGTTTTCCTCTTTTCAGCAAAATATATCGTTCATCAGGTCGCTCATCCCTAATTGTCCCATCATAGAATTCACAAATGTAATTATTGTTGACATCATAAAACACTATAAGTCAAACAGCCAAAAAAATGTGTAGAAGACTCGACTTTGTTTTAAAATCAATAGTTTCACATTTTCATAATTTTCAAATAAGTCATCAATCAGATTTTTAAATTTCTGTAAAAAATACCTAAAATCATCAAGATTTTATAATTATCACTCATGCAATTTATCTTACACTTACTTTCATCATCATCAACTAATTTGTTTGCAACAATTTCCATCGCTAGTTCAAAAAAATCTTTCGCTTTTTCGACCTTAACCATACCACGGGAAACCAAACGCAGATTGTTGCACGTTGCCGCAATATTAACACAGTCAGGTCCAAATGCTTTCGTTTGAATTTTCGTCGCTCGTTCATAAAAATCTTTTGCTTTTTCATACTTTCCCTTTTTACTGTAAACCGAACCAAGATTGTTGTACGTTATCGCAATATCAACATGGTCAGGTCCAAATGCTTTCGTTTCAATTTTCATCACTCGTTCATAATAATCTTTTGCTTTTTCGTACTCTCCCATATCGCTGTAAACCGAACCCAGATTGCTGTACATTGTCGCAATATTAACATGGTCAGGTCCAAATGTTTTCATTTGAATTTCTATCGCTCCTTCATAAAAATCTTTTGCCTTTTTGTACTCTCCCATTTTACTGTAAACCAAACCCAGATTGTTGTACGTTGTCGCAATATTGACTAAGTCAAGTCCAAATGTTTTCGTTTCAATTTGTATCGCTCGTTTATAAAAATCTTTAGCTTTTTCGTACTCTCCCATTTTACTGTAAATCAACCCCAGATTGTTGTACGTTGTCGCAATATTAACATGGTCATGTCCAAACGTTTTCATTTGAATTTCTATCGCTCGTTCATAAAAATCTTTAGCTTTTTCGTACTCTCCCATTTTACTGTAAATCAAACCCAGATTGTTGTACGTTGTCGCAATATTAGCATGGTCAAGTCCGAATGTTTTTGCTTGAATTCCCATTGCTCGCTCGAGAAAATATTTAGCATTTTCATATTCTCCTTTCTTCAAAAGCAATAAACCCAGCTTGTTGTACGAATATGAAACTTCAATATGATCAACACCTAACACTTTAGTTTGAATTTCTGTTATTTCATAAAGTACTTTGCTTGCAAGTTTATAGTTGCAAAATCTTTCCAAAACATCTACAAAATATTTGGCAAATTTCCAATTTCTTTCATCAAGTTTTTGTTTTGATGATTTTTCATCGATCAACTCATTTAGGAAATGTTGAAATGATGAATTTGTTATGAATTTAATTAGATGTGGAATTATTTTGATTTCATCTTCTCTGTCTTCAAAATGATTTAATGCACAAGCAACTTGACAGGCAAGATCAGCTGCAGACTTTTTGCAATTATTTTCGTTTTGTTTACAGCCAAAGGTCTGCGATGAATAATTTTTGATGGCTTCGTGTATAACGCTGTGCAGGCGGATGTCGTTGTGTTCTGTTTGAAGGAATAAAGAACAATGCTTTAATTGAAGACAGACATATTCTGCAGATATTTGTGGATCAATGCTTTCAATAAATCGTATTATAACATCTTGTGGTAAGGGATCGAAAGATATTATTGAGAAAAATTTAAAAACATGTTTCAACAAGATGGATTCTTCGGCATTTTTTTGCACTGCTAACATAACAGTTTTCATTCCTAAGTAAGCTGTGTTTTTTTTTTGAAAATTGCCATCCATGTACTGTCGCTCTCGTTCATTCAACTTATCAAAATATTGCTCCCAGGTGAATGTCGGATTTATACTTTTTACACAACCTACGTAGGAAGCAGCATTTGCAAGGAACAACGGTTGACGATCTAATTTGTCTGATAAATCCTTTAAATATTTTTCATCTTCATTATGATGATCAGAAAAGACAGATAGAAGTTGTCGACATTCTTCATTGTTCATACCATGACTAACTGAAATGTGTTTATTTAGATTTCCATCTGGTGGTATAGCATCTGTATTTTGGACAGTTACTACAATTTGACAATTTTTCCAGTTATGATCACCAACTTGAGGTAATAATGGATAAATTTTATGAAATTCAACCACGTTATCTACAACAATCCACCATGTTTGCCATGATTTCAGTTGCTGTATCAGCAATAATAGAAAATCTTTAATTTTTTCTTCGCTGCTTTTTGCTTCTTTTAAAATATTTTCAATGACAGTTTTATCATTGTTTAATCGTTGACAAAGTTCAGCATAAGTTTTTAAAAGGGATTCTGCATCATTTCCTTCGAGTGTCATCACAAATGTCGTATTCTTTTCCCAGTCTACTGACTTAAACATTTCTTCGCCAATTTGTCTAGCTAATTGAGATTTACCACTGCCAGGATTACCAGAAATATAGTAATATGTTAGTTCATTATTGTTAGTACTGCGCAAGTTATTGAGATCTGCTGTGATTTGATTAAGTAATTCTGTACGTTTAACCACATCGTGATTCGGTTTGCAAGGAAGTACTTGAAAAGATTTAAGTCCTATATGTTGACTTTTTATTTCATTAATTTCATAAAATGAAAATCCAAGATCTTGAAATGAGTTTTTAATATCAGAAACCAATGTGTGGTATTCAGTATCAGATAATATATTATCATCTTTATGAGCAATTTCGTTTCTTACTTCACGAAGTTTCTTAACAGCAGCTTTAGTGTTTGTGTCAATTTTATTTCCAATTGAGTATGAATTCAATATTGCTTTACATATTGTCGTGCAATCCCACTTACTTGTGTCACCATTTTCAAGTTTTGACAATATTTTTTCATCACAAAATATTTTTTTTGATCTTTCAATATTGACCAACTTCTGACCACTAATATTTGTATTATCCCATACTCCGTGGGATTTTTTGTAATTAATGTTCCACTCATGGATAAAAAGATCAACAAGTTTTTTTGTAACATTTGTAAGCATTTTCTGCAGGTAGAAGTAATTAATTTCTTCTCTTGACTGCATCTAAGGGTCATAAAATTATTAATATCAATTATTGAATATTTAATTAGAGTTTATAAACAACTAAAATTGTTGAAGATCAAACATAGCTACGTAATGTTACAGTTTTACTTGTACGTGTAAATGAATATCGAGGATGGCAGCTGAAAACAACACAATTGGACATTTTAGTTTTCCTGTATTTAAGCATTTGGCTATATTTTGGTAGTGGCGTCGCCAGGATTTTGCTAGAGTGGGGGCACAAAATTTTACCACTTCCGTCGCTAGCGAAATGGCCGTAAAAATTGCTTCTGCACTGGGAAATCTTTGAAATATTTATCACAACATGAATAGTTTCAATTTTTTAACTTCTCAGCTAAGCCTTGGCGGATTTGTACATTCTTCGTGTTATAACGTTACGTAGATTGATTATTGATTTTAATGAAATGTTTTCATATTATAATACTTCCAGAATTGCAGTATTTTGGTGAGCCTTACTTTTAGTCATTGCTATATTTTTATTTTTGTCTCTACATGTTTGAGTCTACGAGTATACTTGTCCACGATCTCATACAAGTTCTATGATGTGGTTCATGACATGCATCAAAATATTACTTGTTCTTCCTTGCCTACTAGAGACTTGAATTATTCTAGAATAATAGTTTTATTTTTTTCATTTTTAAGGAATTAAAATCTTCACCACTCGGCTAACAATCCAGAAAGGGTAAATGCAACGCAAACTAGTCTGCACTGCTAAGAGAATGCTTCCCTTTACAGTAAAGCTGTGCGAATTCCGTAAGAGCTACATTAATGCTATGTGGTTCTTTTTCAATTTCGAATGATGCATATGAAAACTCTTATCTAAAATTCAAATGGGGAGCACTTGGGGGGCACAGCCAATTTTTAGATGGGCACGTGCCCCCTTCCAAGGCTTCTGTGATTTGTTTGAGTAATTCTGTACGTTTAAAGATGCCATGATTTGGTTTGCAGGAAAGTATTTGAAGAGAATTAAATTTGTTTCGACCAACTTTTATTTGATTGATTTCAGTGTATGAAAATTGTAGATCTCGAAACGATTTTTCAATATCACGAATCATTATGTGAAATTCAGTATCAGATACATTTCCTTTATTATCATGGGTGAAGTTGTTTCTGACTTTACGAAGTTTATGCACAGCAGCTTTCACTTTTGCGTTAACTTTTGTTCCTATAGAGTGTGAATACAATATTGCTGCAAATAGTGTCCTAAAATCCCTTTTATGGTGTCACCATTTTGAAATTTTACAGAATATGTTTATGACAAACTTTTTCTTTTTTTTCAGTATTGAACAACTTCTGACCACTAACGCTTATATTTTCCTATTCTCCTTGAGATTGTCTTTAATGAGTGTTCAACTCTTGGATAAATATATCAACAAGTTTCTTCTCAACATTTGTAAGTGTTTTCTGCATGTAGTAGTTATTCCTTTCTTCTTTTGGCTCCATCTAATGATCATAAAATGATCAAGATAAACATCGATAGTTTATTAATTATAATTTATCGATAATTGAAATTTGTTGAAGATTATCTTGGCAAGTTAAAGTTGTATATGAAAGTGGTTAATGAAAGTGGCAGCCTAAAAAAACGCAGTGAGTATTTGTGTTTAAAGTTCTCCTGCATTTACGTATTTCTGTGACAATTGGACAAGTTTTTAAAAGCCTTTATAAACAATAATTCTTTGTATGCCTCCATGGCCGTTCTAACGTGGTGTCAAGAAAAGTGAAGCAAGTTTAGTTTAATTTATGCAATGACTGCGTATAGACAAGGCGGAGAAAGATGGTCATTGTCCCCCAACTCGGGAGTTTACTAGAGTAGAGTTTTTGGTCAATATTGGGGCGTTGATTTATAAAATCAATGTTATACCGGCAATTTCTTTGACTTTAAACCTCGTTTGCAAGTTTTACGCCCGTTTTCTAAAAGCACACTCACACTCTATGAGTGGAGCTTCAAAATCACTTCAGAATTAATTGAAGAACCTGATTTCACTCAGGTGATTGCTTGATTTGAATTCTAGATGAAAATCTTCCATAGAGGGAGAAATGACTTTCTCAATGATTAGATAAAGTGTAATATTTATGTCGCACTCAATGAGTGTAAGTGAGCTTTTAGAATATGGACATTAAGCTTCGTTTTCATGTAAACCGTTAGTTAATTCAACTTTATTTCTTTTAAACAAACTGTTTAACGTCCTAAAGTTTATTGAAACAAAAAAAATTTAGTAAAGAAAGCCCAGGACAAAAATAAAAACGTTTTATGAGATTTCTCTAAATTTTTAATAGTTTTTGCTGCACGTCATTTTCTAACCTACGTCTGCAAAGGAAATTTTCGGAAACTAATTTTACTCTTAGTCAAACTGAATAACTAGTTCCTATCGAATATAAACTTGTAAATAAGTTCAACAAACTGAGCTTGCTAATCAGTCATCATCTTTTTCAATGTCATCATAAAAAATATTTAGCAAATAATTGTTCCATAGTTATCTAACACGAAACTTGCGAAATATAAAGATCTAGATAATAAACTTCATACTCTCTTTCGATGTAAATATTCAGGTCCTATATTCACTAAAATATTAATGGTTGTACGTTGATATACAATCTAAATTGTCCAAAGATCTTTAAGATCTTGTAGACTGTTTTTGGTTGACCATTCAAAATATGTTTAACAGAAGGTTTGTAAATTGTATAAG